AACATCAAACAAATTCCCTAAAATGCTCATCTTTCAAATACAATGAAATAAATACTAATATCAAATTGGATGCTTCCTACTTCCCCTCCGACTCCTATTGCTATTATGATTGTTTACTTTTTAGGTGCCTCCTAGTCCCCGACTGCTTACCTTCCTTCAAGATATGAAAATATATGAGCAAATTCTTTGAAATGTCCATCTCTCAAGTACAATGAAATAAATGTCAAAAGAGTACAAAGGCAATTTTGCTTGATTTGATCGATAAATGTAGCTGCCTTTTTACTGTATAACGGACAAAATTTTGCTACAAATCTGCTGAAAATTTCTTCCAGACTAGGGCTAGATGTCATAGCTAGTAGGTCGTTGCCTTTGGTACTAACTACCATAGTGAAAATGGGAATAAGTTTAACATGAGATCAACAAGACGATTGATTCTTTGACAACACCTTCGAGTAAATTTTTTCCTTTAATTTCAGAAACAAAAAAATTATATAGAAAATTCCGAGTCGCCTCAACAACCTACTAGAAATAGGACGCATGGAGTTTTCTACCACTCAAGTACAACAAATTGCAGATTTGAAGTAAAGAATGCAAGAAATTCAGCAACAACAAATCTTGGAAATTCTAGTATTAAACTAACAACATTTTACACAGAATTTCATTTACATGTCACAATAGACTATTATTATAATATAATGTCATACAGGTAGTTCACAGGTATGAAAGTTGAGCATGAAATAAAGACAGCAAATGGGAAGAACATTAATTCCTGTGATTAAGTCTTCTCATCGCATCTAAAGCAGTTTATCCGTATTCCATATTTATATATCTGATAACTCTCTTCCCATGGTTTCGAATGGGAAGAGAAGGATGCAAAGTCCGGAAACTAGTACTACAATTTCGAACAGAATAATCGCAGCTGTTTGATGGCAGCCACTAGTGAGTCCTACTGCTACCAGAGGGCATACCATACCACCAATTCGTCCCATAGAAGTTGCAAGTCCACCACCAGTGCCCCTTATGGAAGTCGGATATACCTATTATTTATTCCAAGGCAAGAAAATTCGATCAATGATAACTCATTCATAACCATAGATGATTTCAACCCATAATTTGAAGCTCGCAAGTTACTTTTAACAGATTACATGATAAACCAAGATTGACATTATCCAAGCAAAATGAACAAATTCTCGGTTTAAAGACATGGTTAAACGGTTGGTTGATTGACACGAAGGGATTTTACAGCAATCCCGTCGTCAAGTTTTTCTTCTCCTTACGTAGAAGTTAAATTTGGTTTGACAAATAACTAGTGTCCTTCACAAACTAATAACTAGAAATGTTTTTAGGAAGTGTTCTGAACGGCTAGCATATAAGGGTAGTTTCATCTTCGGAAAATTAGTAGATGACATTGTTTCAGTGAGATTTCCTAGGGGGGCAAAATCAGATTTCGTCGTCTCACTCCATTTCTCGTATCATGAACACTACTTGAATAGTTCGTATTCAGCACAGGCATTTAAAAGGCCAAATTTTATTTCTCGATGAACATACCATCTTCACATCTATCTAGAAATTTACAATGTTCTTCGAAACTAGCATCAAGTAAATTCCAAACAGAAAACGTTAAACAAGTGAAAATACACTCAACAATATATATTAATCTAACGTACCTCCTTTGCATAGACAATTAAGATTGTAAATGCAGTGGAAATGAACATGCGAGCACCAAATAACAAAGCTGTAGTCAGTATCTCGTTTTGATGCGAAATAAGTGGTAGCATAAGGATGAAAGTTAACAAGGTTAGAATTTCCATTGTAAGCTTGCGACCTAACCGATCCACAAGAACTGCTCCTACAACAAGCCCAGGAAGTTCTGCAGGAAATAGAATAATAAATTTTGCAACTAATTTTTATACCCAACTTGATAAAAATCTACGATTGCTATTTGTCTTTTGGCTTGATTCTTGTTCAAATTCTTAAAACGAATGCATTCAATGGGCAATAACTAGAACGAATGTTAAAGATGTAATTCAAACAAATAAGTTTGTTCCATCTCCGTCAGTTTAAATTTTTAGATGAGGTGGTTTGACATTAGTATTAAAGCAAGCAGAGGTTCCTGATTGTGCACATGTTAGGTTTTGGATGAAAAAAAAGAATCTGGCATGGAGGTGATGAGGGCTGTTGAAAACATAATTTAAACAAATTGGTCCATCTTTCCTCCAATAATTTAAGCTTTTAGATGACGTGATTTGGGAACAGTACCTGCAGAACTATTAATAAATGCGTCAATATAGAGGCTAGCATCCTGGGCTTTTTTGAACTGGATAGTCGTTGAGCTACATTCTCTTTGCGCACTGTTAAACTCAGTGATCAACAATACAACTCCATAGTATGCAAATGTATATCCAAAATGCGTAAGCCACAAGAGAAGAGTAGTCCCCAATAAATTTGTTGAAAAGAGTTCGAGCACAGATTTGAAGAACGTTTCAGAATAACTTATCTTTTTCCCAGTTGAGGAAAGAAGAGGAGTTTCATCTGATGGAGCATTTTCTTCATCTAGATCCATGTTTTGATCAGAGAGAAGAATTCCAGTGGGGAGTTCTGTTCGGTTGATTAAAGCTATTTTTTCCAAAATTCCAAGTGCTTCATTTGTTCTGCCTTTCATATATAGGTATCTTGGAGACTCTGGTGCAAAAGTAGAAAGGAGAAGAACCAAGAAAGCTGGTATAGAAGACAAAGCAAGTAGCCACCTCCAACCCAAGCCAGGCATGACAATCTGCACGAAGTATGACAGTTTTTTATAATCCTATTTATGCATCTATTGAGCATAAATGATGCTACATGCTCATTATCAACCCCCAGCCCCACTCTCAAGAAAAGAAAATAGATAGAAGAGAATCATCTGAATTCAAAATGATAGCAAAAAATTTCCTCAGGTGAAAGTCATCTTAAATGTTATCACTGAGGGAAAATGTCCTGGAAATGTAGGAACTTAGTTTCCAATTTCAAGTGGATCATTGAACTTCATTTTCTCACCTATACTTTTGCTTCAATAAATTCACTTCGTCAAACTCCATTAGCTTGCCTAGTGAAAAATTGACACAAATGTTGACATGACTAATAAAATACGGTCAACACAAATCATCAACTGCCATGCTAGTATTTCCCTTCGAGAAGCTAACCAGACTTGGATGGAGTAACTTGACTGAAGCAAACTTATACTTTGTATCATGCCATAAGTTCGGTGACTTCCAAATTTTTTACCCTATCATTGAAGCCAATTAGAGCACCAGAAAACAGGAATAACAGAGTGGTTCTGGCAGTGAGACTTGCAGAAAACAGGAATAACAGAGTGGTTCTGGCAGTGAGACTTGCAGAAGACTTATATATATTTTTATTTGTACAGACAGCAAAGAGAACTATGTTGGACCTTAAATTCATTGAAACTCAATCCTTTTGACATACAACGTGGATCTGCTTATAGTACATGGTATGTGAAGCTATGCCTCATGGTACATTCACCCGCAAAATCAGAACCATCATTTTGAGAAAAGGGTGTCATAATATATGAGAAGTATTCAAACTTCAATCGTAATAGACATACCCATGCAAGTGAAGCTCCCATTAATGTTCCAATAGTCCAGAAAGTTGAAATACCAATCATCCAAGCACCTCTACTAGAAGCTGGGATAAACTCCAGAAACCATGATGTAAAAACATGTCCACCACCCACACCAAATCCAAGTAAACTACGATATATAATCAGTGACTTGTAATCTGAGGATGAAGCACTTAACAGTCCAGCTGCTGCTGTTACTAAGTCTGCACCTTGCATTGCAATCCTGTAAGATTGAAAGAAACAATCTTTTTAGGGCCAATGATACCATGACACATGTTAAAGGGACAACACAGTTGATAAAAAACTGTTAATCTATTACTAAACAATGACATTTTCGTGTAGGTTTTGAAGTACATATATACAAGTATCTAAACGGAAATTTACAAGAAAAAGGGTGCACATAAAGTGTAAAGTCTTAGGAGGAAACCTCCCTGTAACATTAACAAACACAGGAAAGCAAAATTAAAAAGGACTTGAAGAGGTTAATAATATTCACAAGAATTATTTATGTGTGTGATGTATTTTATTTGAGAAACCATTTAGTTAACTTCACAAGTTCTTTTGGTTTGATTTGATCTTGTTGCACCACAAGAAAAGAGCCTCAAGTCGTGCTCAAAAATTATATAACATGCTAAGAGGTCCACACTGATAAAAGGCAAAATTCACCTGCCTAGTCCACTGAAACTACCCGATGAAAAACTCATGAAGCCATGAAGGCATCAACACAAAGCCCAGGTATCATGAACAACACCCTTCTCAAGTAAATACTAGTCTTTCGGTCTCAAAAGACCAAATACCAGGATCGGAACTCACAGGCTCATCCAACAAGAAGTCACCAACTCAGTCGGCTAGATCAAAGCTAGACAAATACTCACCTATGGTTAGTCGGCCAGTCTACCTCATCTACAATGTTTACACTATACTCCAAGAAACAAAACATTACTCTCAGAACAAGTTCCCCCTTAAACAGTGACTCAGGTGCAAGTTTCAAAGGTGGGTCCCTTCATTGTCTGACACGATTCCTCAGCCAATCGTTTCAAGACACATATCCCCCATTAAGACGATTACACATTCAAGAGAAGGTGAATGGTTATAGAGTATCCTCTTGATAAATATCAAGGCCACCCACTTGAAGACAACAATAACTACAAGTGAAGCTATCTTATATAAATTACAAGATTCCTTTCAGGCTTTTCTCCAAAGCAGTTATACTCCTAAAAATGCCAAATACTGACTTGACCGTTAGAGTGGAAAAAATGACCACCTTCTCTCCAGTGATCTTTCCCTACTGCTTTCTGTCTTGCAGAAACCCATGATGGAGAACAAGAAGGAAGCATAAGAATCATCAGGACAGGACACCCTGTCCGTTGTCACATTGGCATGAAACTTGGGCAACAGATTTCGGAACCAAGAGATCTGATTCAGTGCTTGTATAAGAAGGTTGTAGTTAAGATTTTATTTTATTTAACCACTTCACACTTCCAATTACACATTTTTCAATCTTGAAACTAGGTCATGTTATAAATATAATTCACCTTGTGAGATGGAAAAGATGAACGAACAAATGACTACCTTCTCCCATAGGCATCCGATATGAAGCCCCAAAAATATGCTCCGACAAGCATTCCACCAAAAACAGCAGTTGTTAGAAGACTCTCTTCAGTGGGAGAAAGTGTCCACTCAGATTTAACTGCTGGTCCTATGAAGGAGAGAAGCATCATTTCCATGGCTTCTGCAAGCCACCCAGCCCCAGCAAAAAACAGGGCAAGACCCTGGAAAGTCCCGAACCCCATTGTAGAAAGTATTTCATCCAGTGTGTATCCAAGGATCTGATTACCCATATTCAGAATCAACTACAAAGAAACCATAGTTCATCATTTTTGCAAGTAGAGTGTACCAAATCTTAAGATCAAGAAAAGTTTCATGATCAAATTGCCAAGGCATGTCTTATTGAAAAATCCAAGCTACAAGCAAACGAATACGAGACTACAGTTAAACGAAATACCTTTTGGACCGGAAAAAAATATTCATTCAGCGATGTTATTCATTCATCGATAAATAAATATTTATTATTTTAAAGAGAGCTTTTCAATATAAAATATGTACATTGTATGTGGTAAGAAAAATCAAGACACTAATCAAAATATTATTTGAATCTAGGGAAGCTCAAAAGTTTTAG